TGCAAGATAGATATCTGGCGAGAAATATTGTCATACACGAGATAGGAAATCGAATTTCTAACAATAGACCTAGAAATAGATTCAATATATATATATATATATATATATATATATATATATATATATATATATAATATAAAGTGAACAAGTCAACACTTAGAGGCGACAGTCTGTTTCATGCTATATGCAATCGTCAGGCCATATACCATGAAACAGACTGTCGCCTCTAAGTGTTGACTTCTATGTTCACTTTTATATTTACACACGCTCTATCTCTGATATTGAGCACTTTATCCCATAAATATAGCACACCTTAAGACTATATTTCTTTATATATATATATATATATATATATATATATATATATATATATATATATAGATAGATGAATTGATGTGAGTTTGTGGCCTGGGTTTCACGCTATTTGCGATCGTCCCTATATATATGTTTGCTTATTTATTTTTATTTTGATCCCCTCGAATCCTCGAATCAACTTCTTAATGTTGATATTAAAAATTAATATAAGCATTCGAGAGAAATCATGGGAAGTTTGTAATTTAAAAACGTGTATATATATATATATATATATATATATATAGAAAGCATTTTCTTAAGTAATAGTGATTTTTTATTTATTAATCCAACATATTTTTATTAAATTAAACATTATTTTTAGTGGATACCCGTATTTGAGTAGACGATCCGTTTATTTTGAACAATATTTTATTTTGTCTATCGCCCTTAATATTCCATAAATTTTATTAAAAATAAATAAGTAAAATAAACTAAACAATATATCTATCTATCTAAATGAACAAATAAGTAATCAAATTAATCAAATAATAAACAATTTAAAAAAAACTACGAATGAACACACAAACACAAGGGATTGTAATAATAATGAATAATAAGTAATAAAATAATCAATAATAAATAACACGTAAAAAGTTAAGATACAACACTATAAAATAGCCACAAATAACTGTATTCGGATCCTCAATTATTTCCACTCAATAGACTCTAGAATAATTTGAAACATAACTATTATCACCTACCCAATAACCGATAAGTTAATACAAAAAACTTCTTCCCATAATTAATTATTGAATACCCTATATAAATAGTCGGGCCAAAACACAACCCACGTGGTCTGAAGATTGCGTGTAAGCATGAAACAGACTATCGCCGCTGGATGTTGACCACAGTGTCCACTTTTATATATATTGTTACAATTCGTAGCGTATAAAGGTATGAACCCCACATACCAAAAAAAAAAAAAAAAAAAAAGTGTGGGTTCGCTCAGATAGGAACACGCGAACAGGTACCAACGAACAACAAAACCAAGATTAACATTTGTAAATAAATTTTATATAACAAAATACAATATATAGGAAAAGTATGGAGTGACAGACGTGCAATTAATAAAAGATTACTTAACTGATTAACTTGATTTTGGATGTCAGTTCAAACATTTATGTTTCAGGAATTTGAAGTTCGAATGTTCGTAATGACCGACAAAGTTGCTGTAGGATGCTTACAAAAATTAGATGTTTTTATGGAGGCGGGGGCGGGGGGGGGGTTCTTCCCCAGTGTAAAATTTAGAATTTCGGAATAATGTTTGTGTTCCGTTTTCCCTTGATTAACTGGATTGCATCCGAGATGAAAATAAGATGATTTCTTTGCATCTATTTGGGTACAATATTCCTTTATTCTTTACCCATTAAATAGTCAAATAGACCCAAGATCTCCGGGACGAAATTTCGTTATTCCCTGCACAAGGCTCGTTGGTGTATTTCTTATCCCTTACGATTGCATGATGAGAGTTTATTTTTTTCACGAATTCTTGCCGTAGGAGGTCATCAGGAGACTAAAGTTACAATACCAAAATTCCACTTGGTGATATATGTCTCGAGAGTGTAGTTGACCGATTCCTACTCAATTTTTTAGGAGGTCATTCTGTTTGTTGTCAAGCAATCCCAGATTCTTTTCCTAACATTTCTTAGGAGGCTATTCTCTTTGTTGTCAAGCGATCCCAAATTCCTTTCATGACAGTGCGTCTCTTATTAAATTGATTGTACGTCTTATTTTAAAGTTAACATTATGGGCCATGTCACTATATATATATATATATATATATATATATATGAAGATGAGACACAGTGTAAAATTTATTAACGACGCATCTGCTCTTTTGGATTTCTCAGGTTAGAATGAAAGAAAGACAGAACTGTATGCATGGGAAATGCTATAAAAGTCGTTAATAAATTTCCCACTTTGTCCCATGATCATTTTCGTTTCATATACTATTATACATCAGATAAACACACGCAGATACACATACACACACACTCTTTCCCCCTCTCTCTCTCTTTCACACACACAGACACACACACACACATATATAATTTTTTTCATTAATTAATTTCTCATTTTCACCCCACTTAGCTTCAATCGAAGAGGCAATTATTAAATGCTTTCTGCAAAATGACATTATTCCTGGAATTACACAAAGCTTATCAAAGATTCGATATTTCCGTAAGATCATGCCCCTTTGACATTTTTCAAGCACATTCGAAACAAAACCTTCCCTGACAAAAAGATAAAGGATCCTTTGGCCTTGGCATCGAGCTGATTGGATTTGTTTTTATGAAAAAATGTAAAACTACTGTTTATTCAACAAACCAATTAATCTTTCGGTGACCTGTAGGGCAGTCAGATATCTGCGCGTCATTGGAAGAGAAATGAAGCATTTATGGAAAGCTAAAGGATTAAATTTACTATTTCCAGTAAGCAAAATACTCTGGTTTATTTCAAAAAGAAATTATATTGATTGGAATTAATTTTTTAATAGCTGATTAGCACCCTTTTTAGTCGTCTTTCATCGCAGTGTAATTCTCTGTGTTAAAAATTTTTCCAAAAATAAAATATACTTTTCTGAAACTTTATTTGAGGTATATTAACTGATTTAAAGTGTAATAAATCTGATTTAAAATAAATATTATTTACTTTAAATTTAAAATAACACGGAAATCTATTTTTAAAACAAACAGTAGCTGTGTTTTTTAACCGACAATAGCCATGTTTACATGACTAATGAGTGTTGACTGGTATTGACACCTTTATTGTTGTTCTACAGAGACTTTATCTGTCAAACTTAAAGAAAATTAAGTGAGTGCCTATTTTATATCATTTTTAAGTACTCAGCAATCTTAGAAATGTTGGAAAATATTCCCCGTAATCTAATTTTAAGAATATTGACTTTATATTTACTATAGTCATTGCTCTTATTTTCTGTTAATGTCGTGTTGACCATACTTTCAAAAATGGGCACTTAATATTTTATATAGATAAAAAAAATTAAAATTATTTTAAAAGCCATGGTGCAAAATGATTTGTACTAAGCTTTTCAATTTTTGATTAATAAATATAGTTTTCACTTAATAACAATGTCACCTGACACAATTAAAGCAATGTAGAATTTTAAAAGATTTAAATTTTTAAGAATTATTATAATAAATTATTATTAAATAAAATTTTAAAAAATGAGAACAATTCTTTTAAAAATCATTATTCATCGAAAATGATTTTTTTCTTAAGACAATAGTGTCCATAATAAATCTTATTTATAAAAGCAATTAAAAGCTTCTCTAATTAAATAATGTCAGTTTTATTGTATTTTTAACTTACCATTTGGAGCAGACTTCGTTTAGCAGTTTGAAAAAAAATGATGATTTATATTTCTCGAAATTTCATGGAATTAAGAAAGTCGGGGGTTATATATGCAAGAAAGAAAAATAATTTTACCAAGATTTTCTTTTAAAAAAGTCCTGTTTCATTTAAATCCGTCAATTATTTGATTTTTGCAAGAATTTCCAAATCAATGTGTTTTTCACGGGAAAAAAGGCGATAAAACACTAATCGTAAATATTACGTCGTCTGCTAACGCAAAAAAAAGAAAGAAAGATTTTTTACCAAAATTTCGAACGTGCAAGGATTAAAACAATTAATAAAAAGACATGTTGGTCTTTCCTCTCAATAATAACATAAACATTTTGACATAAACGTTTGTTTTTATTAAGTTTGGGGCCTTGTTTCATCATGCTATGCTGTTTTTTCAGCGAATTAGTGGCGGTACCTAATGTCTGTTGATGTTTCGAAGCAGGAATTAATTAAGATGAAGCCGTGAAAAAATATTTTCGGCGATCTGTGGAAAACACCTAATGTGATTCAGATTATATAATAAGTTGATACATATCGTTTTTTCCCCTGATGTCGATCTTGAAGAATAATCTTTCGTAGCATTTGATTGCTTCTTGTTAACTCTGGTCATCCTGTGAAACTGAATTTTATTTCAGATTAGAAACTCGTTTGAGATGGAATGCCGAGTAGAAAAGATTGGGTACGTCGACATCTTCGCTTTTAATCAAGGTCCCAAAGTTGCCAAAGCTGTTCGAGACATTTGTGCTGACAGAAATAGAATTCCCTTTTCAAAGAGGAGGAATTCGAACTTACAGACTCTGCACGTTCTGACCGACCTACTCAGTTTGATGAGAACCATTTGCAAGCGCTGATTATAGAAGAACCGTGCCAGACCCCCCAGGGAATTGGCTTAAAAGATACTAAGTTCTCATGTTACTGACGCTTGTCATTTTTACTCAACACGGCACATAGGGAACACTCATTGCCCGAGAGAAAAAAAAAACAACAAAAACTCCAGAGCTTCACCATTGCCGCCAATTTACTCGCTCGACACCAGGCTACTCGTGGATACAGAGAAAGAGATCGTTTGGGAAGTTCTACCACACCCACAATATTCTCCTGATTAAGACGTTTTAGACTTGCAGCTTTTTCGGCCGCACGATTTTAGGAGTATTTTGTTCAATAACGAACTACAGCATAAAACTTAGCTTGATGAATTTTTCGAGTCAAAAACTATTGTCATGTCATTGAACAATTATTGGATCGTTGGCAGGAGGTCATAAACGAAGAAGGAAAATACATTATATGGCATTTAACTGACTGACGGTGAATCGGTAACGGTGAATTGGTAACGGTGGATCGGTAGCGGTGAATCGGTAACGATGGATCGGTAACGGTGAATCGGCAACGGTGAATCGGTAACGATGGATCGGTAATAGTGAATCGGCAACGGTGAATCGGTAACGATGGATCGGTAACGGGGAATCGGTAAGGGTGAATCGGTAACGATGGATCGGTAAAGGTGAATCGGCAACAGTGAATCGGTAACGGTGAATCGGTAACGGTGAATCGGTAACGATGGATCGGTAACAGTGAATCGGCAACGGTGAATCGGTAACGGTGAATCGGCAACGGTGAATCGGTAACGGTGAATCGGTAATGATGGATCGGCAACAGTAAATCGGCAACGGTGAATCGGTAACGATGGATCGGTAACGGGGAATCGGTAACAGTGAATCGGTAACGATAGATCGGTAACGGTGAATCGGCAACGGTGAATCGGTAACGGTGAATCGGTAACGATGGATCGGTAACAGTGAATCGGCAACGGTGAATCGGTAACGGTGAATCGGTAACGATGGATCGGTAACGGTGAATCGGCAACGGTGAATCGGTAACGGTGAATCGGCAACGGTGAATCGGTAACGATGGATCGGTAACGGTGAATCGGTAACGGTGAATCGGCAACGGTGAATCGGTAACGATGGATCGGTAACGGTGAATCGGTAACAGTGAATCGGCAACGGTGGATCGGTAACGGGGCCTTGTTTCATCATGCTATGCTGTTTATTATCCAATTATTGGATCGTTGGCAGGAGGTCATAAACGATGAAGGAAAATACATTATATGGCATTTAACTGACTGACGGTGAATCGGTAACGGTGAATTGGTAACGGTAGATCGGTAGCGGTGAATAGGTAACGATGGATCGGTAACGGTGAATCGACAACGGTGAATCGGTAACGATGGATCGGTAACGGTGAATCGGCAACGGTGAATCGGTAACGGTGAATCGGTAACGATGGATCGGTAACAGTGAATCGGCAACGGTGAATCGGTAACGATGGATCGGTAACGGGGAATCGGTAACGGTGAATCGGTAACGATGGATCGGTAAAAGTGAATCGGCAACAGAGAATCGGTAACGGTGAATCGGTAACGATGGATCGGTAACAGTGAATCGGCAACGGTGAATCGGTAACGGTGAATCGGTAACGATGGATCGGTAAGAGTGAATCGGCAACGGTGAATCGGTAACGGTGAATCGGTAACAGTGAATCGGCAACGGTGAATCGGTAACGGTGAATCGGTAACGATGGATTGGTAACAGTGAATCGGCAACGGTGAATCGGTAACGATGGATCGGTAACGGGGAATCGGTAACGGTGAATCGGCAACGGTGAATCGGTAACGGGGCCTTGTTTCATCATGCTATGCTGTTTATTATCCAATTGTTGGATCGTTGGCAGGAGGTCATAAACGATGAAGAAGAATACATTGTTGAATGATTCGTCAGAACTATTAATAAATAGTAAGTATTAAAATAAATTATAGAACACGAACGAATATTTTTGGAGAACCCACAATAAATAACCGACCTTGTGTCCCATGCTGCCCCAGTGAGGGGGTGACAGAATATCGTCAGTAGTTCACGTAGAGTCAGTAGTTCAAGTCGAGTCAAGAGTCGAGTCAGAGGCAGTCCGAAACAGAGTCGCGTTCAGACAATTACTGCAAGACATTGGAATAGTGATACTGGTCGAGACTACATTGTTCTCTCTACTAAACCTGACTGTTCATACTAACACTTCTACTTCTCTGTATATATTCCTGCTTGTAATATATCTGTGTTATTCCATACTTGTGTTCGAGTTCTTCTTTAATGGTTCTACCTTGGACTATCACCCGGGGTACAAGGAACCGGACCATAACAATCACCATTCTTCTGTTAAGCTTGGAGAGTTATTACACACTTTTATTGTTCAAAGTAGAACCCAATAGTGTTATAAAAACTTCGGAGAATTCCAGTAAGATATCTTTAATCATTTCTAAGATACAACGGTTCAAAGCTTAATTGGGCAATTTTGCTTTTAAACGATTTAGACAATTTTGCTGTTATACCCTGTATATATTGATCGAATGATTTGTTTTTACGGTTTATCAACCTTTTACGGGTTATTTAAACCCAGGAAATATTTTTAGATTGTAAAACTGTTTTGTTTTGTTTGTTTTTTTTGGTTGGGGGAGATAATAATAGTTTTCTGACACAAGTTCTGCTCATTAACCCACAGCTTAGGGGAGAAGAGGAGGATTCATACCTTTTCCAAATGTATTTGCGCGTAAGTGAATATAATGAATCCGTTTGGAATTGGAAGACGGTTCTTCTATTTCAGAGCTGTTATCCATTACACCACCCACACAGCCAAACTTACAACACGTAACATTCGCAAAAGGTCGCCCATCTTGACATTATGTCTGTATATATATATATATATATATATATATATATATATATATATATATATATATATATATATATATATATCTTGCAGTAATAAGATGTTGAAAAACCGGTGATCTTACGAGAACCGGGTTTTCAACATCTTATATCTGCAAGATATATATATATACACATACATACATATATATATATATTGTATGCATTTAGGCAGCATCTTTTCATTCATACACGTTTCATTAAATAATATAGACAAGTGTTGTCTATTTATTCTACGTAAATTTTTTTCATAACATCTTAAGCCATTATCAAAGAGTTGTAATTGACATCTTTGATAATGGCTTAAGTAAGCCGAAAGCTTAGATTGTATTAAAAAAAATATGGATCACTATTGTGAATTTCTTTCTTCGTTCAACGATAATGTTATTAAACTTATCAGATGTTACAAAAAAAATTTACATAAAATAAATAGACAACACTTGTCTATATTATTTAATGAAACGTGTATATATATATATATATATATATATATATATATATATATATATATATATATATGGAGAAAGAGAGAGAGGGAGAGAGAGAGAGAGAAATCCAAAAGACACACACACACACACACACTCTCTCTCTCTGTCTCTCTGTCTGTCTGTCTCTCTCTCTCTATATATATATATATATGAAGTGGACACTGTGGCCATCTCCTAGCAACGACAGTCTGCTTCATGCTTGAACACAATCTTTAGGTCATGTGTGCTATGTGTTATCAGGACTATTTATATATGCCAGTTAACAGAGCATTATGGGTAAACAAATCTATTTCATTATCCTAACGGTTATTGGGCGGGTGGTAACGGGTATATTTTAAATTATTCTAGAGGTTTTTGAAATAATTGTGGACCTGAATGCGATTATTTTTTTTATTTAGATACGTTCTGTCCCTGATTTTGAGCATTTTACCCATAAATGTAGCATACCTCAAAATTATCAAAGAAAATTCTAACTCTAACTCTGCCTTTGTTTTCAGAACGCCTTAAATTTTATCTCTCGATCAACTTTTCCTTACCGGGTACATACTGCAGACAATTCCTTAACCTGGATTTTAAAAACAATAATGTCTCCATTTCATAGTCAGATTTCAACTTCAGCCATATTGTTTTTTTTTATAGGGAAAATCAAATTTTCCTGTCCTTCCCCTCTGTCTTTATCCAAGGGAAAAAAATTCTGAATTGATTAAATCTTGCCTCGTCTCTTGGTATAGCTATCGAGCTATCCCTTCAACCTTTACAGTGTCACATCTCTCTTGGTGTAGATATCGAGCTATCCCTTCAACCTTTACAGTGTCAAATCTCTCTCGGTGTAGCTATCGAGCTATCCCTTCAACCTTTACAGTGTCACATCTCTCTCGGTGTAGCTATTGAGCTATCCCTTCAACCTTTACAGTGTCAAATCTCTCTCGGTGTAGCTATCGAGCTATCCCTTCAACCTTTGCAGTGTCACATCTCTCTCGGTGTAGCTATCGATCTATCCCTTCAACCTTTACAGTGTCACATCTCTCTCGGTGTAGCTATCGAGCTATCCCTTCAACCTTTGCAGTGTCACATCTCTCTCGGTATAGCTATCGAGCTATCCCTTCAACCTTTACAGTGTCACATCTCTCTCGGTGTAGCTATCGAGCTATCCCTTCAACCTTTACAGTGTCACATCTTTCTCGGTGTAGCTATCGAGCTATCCCTTCAACCTTTACAGTATCACATCTCTCTCGGTGTAGCTATCGAGCTATCCCTTCAACCTTTACAGTGTCACATCTCTCTTGGTATAGCTATCGAGCTATCCCTTCAACCTTTACAGTGTCACAGTGGTAGTGTAACTCTGGTAGTAGTATATCTTTAACACTCATCGATGTAAAAATAATTTAATACCTTTTAATCATGGGACCAGAATTTAAATCTACCTACTACAAGTGCGTATGTAACACACATGAGGCCTTTTTTACTTTTGTTTTTCAATATTTCGATTTAACATCCATAAGACCTTTCGTCTTTTCTTTTTTACTTTTTTTTTTCAATATTTGGAAGTTTCTGAGTTAGGAGTGTAGATTATACATGATTGCGTTTTATACACAGATAAAAAGAAAATTATTGTAACTAGTCCTCAAGAGTATGTTAGGCATATGTGGATCCTGGGAAACTGTGGGAGTCCACGGTTAATACAAAAATAACCCCGCCGGTGACATTAGCATGAACCACCTAACGTTCGGGAACATACCATAAGCAAATAAATATAAGCTGATGTGCATTTATCAGTGCTGTTTATGCTGTTTTTGGAAACTTGATTTGCTATTGTGATACATGGCTGACTAATGATAAAGCATGAAAATCTGTTGTATCTTAGAAATGATTAAAGATATCTTACTGGAATTCTCCGAAGTTTTTATAACACTATTGGATTCAACTTTGAGCAATAAGAGTGTATAACTCTCCAAGCTTAACAGAAGAATGGTGATCGAAGGAAAGCGTCTCCAATGGCATAACGATTATAGGCTTAGAAAATGGAATCGGCGAACTGAATTCGTAATCAAACTGAGTGTGATTACGTTATTTTTGCAATAATACTCTTAAAGAAAGGCATAAACAGACTTTTCCCCGTAAATTTTGGAAAATCGTAAAAACATTTGGATAATACTTTAATGACCGGTAAACGATGGCAAACATTGAGCGTTAAAATGGCGAAATTGTATTTTATGCTATAAAGCAGAGGAAATATATATATATATGTATGTATAAAACAGAGGAAATCTGGATCGAGATACATTGAAAAATGTATGGCAACAGATGGGGAGAAATTCATTTGGCTCTGACAACAGAGTTATCGATTTTTAATCCTGAAGAGGAAATAATGATATATATATATATATATATATATATATATATATATATATATATATATATATATACTATAGTTCAAAAGCTTCGGGCTATCCTCTGGATTTCGAGTTTGCAGAAAGTTTTCTTTCCGAAGGGTTTTATCACATTTTAAACAACAACAACAACAACAACAACATCAATAATAATAATAATAATAATAAAAGCTAATAATAATAAAAAGAAACTATTAATGTATAAATCTAACGGAAAATTCCATGATGAGCAAGTTCACCGTCATATTACACAAACTTCAGTTATAGGCATTCAAGATGGCGGTGTTTCATTGATTTTGACGCATTGATTACTATTACGGCCGTTTTTTCTAGACTATTTTTGAAAATAGACCTTTTTTGTAGATTTTTTTAATATTTTTATACTTGCATTCAATTTTTAAATATAACTTGAAGAGGACAGACATACTGTCAAAATATTGTTGAACATTTTCAAACACTGACTTTTCTATTTTATTTCTTAAATTGTGCTTTTCTCTGAGTCTTGACAAAATGTTGGAAGAGTTATGTCAACAAGTTTTCCTTATGACCAACTCGTTGCTCACATGTTCTGTCCATGGTATTCTCAATATCCTTCTGTTGAACAAAATCTGTCTTGCTTCAAGTCTCCTTTTCATCTGTGAGGAGATAGTTTAGCAATTACAGCCACATAAGAGGAATGATATTACTTAGTAGTTCAACACTTTTTTCTTTGTTTCTAAAGAAATTTTCCTGTCTCTTAATACATTGCTTAGATTTTGAACAGCTTCTTTCGCTGTTCTAATACATCTTAAGATTATGTCCCCAGAGAAATTTGAATAATAATAATAATAATAATAATAATAATAATAATAAATCTCGAAAATGTAGCATATGGGAACATCAACAATCCCTGTTGTAGTTGGAGCCCTAGGACTGGTTGGAAAAGATTGCAGTAGACTAATTGAAGGGATTCCTGGAAGTCCATGCCTCAAGGAGATACAAAAAATTGTTCTGACAAGTACAGCCCACACCTTACGAAGGGCTTTATCTATGTAATTTAATTTTAAAAATTTTTTTTTTTGTCAGTGGAAAGTGTCATGACGCCATTTCTAACCTTAGGTCCCTGGGCGGGACCCGGAAAGAAGTGTGTAAACGCCAGAAATCAAAGAAAATAAAAATAATAATAATAATAATAAAACAACGATGTAATTATTCTCTGGGACATGTCAATTCAATCTGACAGGGAAATAAAAGCTAACAGACCTGATATTATCAAAAAAGAAAAGAAATTCAGGAAGTATATGCTTCTTGACATAGTAGTACCATCTGAGAGAAACACCACCATGAAAATTATCGAGAAATACAAATATAAGGACTTGGAGATCGAGATTAACAGGATGTGGGCAATGAAAACTGAGACTGTACCAACAGTAATCGGAGCTCTGGGACTGGTGAGAAAAGGAATAGACAATTTTACTAACAGTGTCCCAGGTAACATCAACAAACAAGTTGCCCAGAATATCACCCTACTAGGAACATCACATATACTAAGAAAAGTGCTATCAGTTAAATGACAATTCTCCTAGAGGGCCTAAGGACCATAGTTTTGACCCGACTGTAGAGGATACAAAGCAGGAAACATAACATATACAAATAATAATAATAATAATAATAATAATAATAATAATAATAATAATAAACAAGGACATTGAAATAGAAATCTCGAAAATGTGGCATATGGGAACATCAACAAACCCTGTTGTAGTTGGATCCCTAGGACTGGTTGGAAAAGATTGCAGTAGACTAATTGAAGGGATTCCTGGAAGTCCATGCCTCAAGGAGATACAAAAAATTGTTCTGACAAGTACAGCCCACACTTTACGAAGGGCTTTATCTATGTAATTTTTTTTTCTTTTTTTGTCAGTGGAAATTGTCATTATACCATTTCTAACCTTAGGTCCATCGGCAGGACCCAGAAAGAAATGTGTAAATGCCAGAAATCAAAGAAAATAATAATAATAATAATAATAATAATAATAATAATAAAATCGAAATCTCAGAAATGTGGCACATGGGAACATCAACAATCCCTGTTGTAGTTGGAGCGCTAGGATTGGTTGGAAATGATTGCAGTAGACTAATTAAAGGGATTCCTGGAAGTCCATGCCTCAAAGAGATACAAAAAATTGTTCTGACAAGTACAACCCACACTTTACGAAGGGCTTTGTCTATGTAATTTTTTTTTTTTTTTTTTGTCAGTGGAAAGTGTCATTATGCCATTTCTAACGTTAGGTCCCTGGGCGGTACTCGGAAAGAAATGTGTAAAAGCCAGAAATCAAGTAATAATAATAGCAATACCATCTGAGATAAACGCCATAAAAATTATCGAGAAATTATCCAAATACAAGAACCTGGACATCGAGATTAACAGGATGTCGGGAATGAAGACCGAAGCTGTAGCAATATATTCAACCGGATAGTGCATTGTAGATGGGAAATTCTAAGAGGTCAACAATAGAATTAGAACCGCATGTTTATTAATTTATTTCTGAATTTCAGAGGTGAGTAGTTATTATTATTTATTTCTTTTAAGAAACGATTTCGCTCCAGTGGCACAATGTGCCGTTCAAACGAAAAGACTTTCAATTACTCCGTTTTCATGCCTCTGCATCGCCATGAGTGACCCAGACTGCTGTGGGATCGGTGTTTTTATCGAGTCACCATCACTAGAATGGTTGCTAACCAAGGCTATAAAACCAAGTCTGTCCTGATCCTGCTAGGGGTGGAGAAAAAAAAAAGTTCATACTTTTCCCAAGGACATTTGTGAAGTGAATGTAATGAACCCAACTGAAATTCGAACTCTGCTCTCCGATTTCTCATTACGAACCGCTATCTATTGACATTAGTGTCGGGCTGTCTTCATCTTTTTCTCTGAATATCTAATATGAGGAGTTATCATTATTATATTTATATTCGTGCTATTTTCCTCATCTTTGTTGTTTCTATCACAACGTTTCGGCCATTGTACACTTCGGCCTTCCTCATGTGTATATTGTTTTGAGTAACCGGCAGGGAATTCCGAACTGAATCCTTTATTTAATCTACGGGGGTAGACTGTTCTTGATACACTGCTCATGTCTAAGGATATCGTTTAGTTCTTATTTCTATTTCGTACTGTTCAGTTAGGAGGCACGGATTGAGGAATTGGAGAGTCAAGTTCGAATTCCAGTCAAATCCATTAGCCTTGGGAAAGATATGAATCATCTTCTTCTCCCTCCAGCTACAGGTAAATAGCGGGATGGACCGGGTTCTATAGCCATGAACGGTAACTGGTTTACCGCCAAAAGAAATGGCAACCTACTGCGGGGAAAAAAAATCTGCCTCGTCAGTCATATATCGAAAGATACATGATCGCCTAAGCGTGTATCATGCATGGCACGTAACTGACTGACTGACTGCTCAGTTATTGCTCACCCGTTTCCACTAAGTGAAAGTACACACTGCCCGATCCAGGGATTGAACTTAATTCACAAACCAACGCTTTTACGCACTTTTACTACCAAATATAAATAGTCTTCATCGTTGTTGTTATGATCACAACGTTTAGCCCGTTGTGTTCTCCGGGCTTCTTCATGTGCCTCTCGAACTAGATAATCTACAGAAAGTTTCGAACTGAACTATTTATTCAATCTATGGGGGTAAATTGTCCTTATTCCCCTACCCATGTCTAGGGTGTGTGTGTGGTGGTGGTGGGGTAACCCGTCTTGGCTAAATGTTCAGATAATCATTTTTTCACTGAGTCTGAGTACATCCGTACTACCCGACACAGGAATTGAACTGATAATTATTATATCACCAAATTCACTAACCAACGCTTTAGTCTTCTAAATTAAATTTCTTAAGATTACCTGCATCAACAGACACCTGAAGTGGGCCGGATGGCATAACGGCCGAAACGTTATGATCCTAACAACAAAGATTTTATCGTATCATT